TAGCATTCTCTTGGCCTTGGGCTAGTTTCCCCGCTTTACCGTTGGCTGAGATAAGGGCAGGCTGAGTAACTGATACATTCTGTGGCTTTTCTGGGAGAGGAGTTAGAGACACACCTATCAGTTCCGTTCTGTCCCTTCAATTGCATGTGCAACTTCTATCGCTTATTTGTGAGTAGAAAACAGCTTAAACTATTTGTAGAAACGTGTCCCTTTCTGCAGAAAGAGTTGTGGTTAATTGGAATTTCTGTTATGCTTTGCTCCCTGACTTCTCAGTTGGCTTGTAAGCTAGTAAGTGATGTTCAAGCAATGTGTTTGGAGTATAGGAGTTTTGCATCTGTTTTGTATAAAAGCATCAAACATGGCGTCTAAATACATTAAAATTATGAGGCAATTTAATAGTGTCCTTGTTTTCCTTAGTGGCCAATGGCTCTGTTTATTTAAAACAAACCTTTTGCCTCCTATTTAGTATTTTGGGATACATTCATGATGCATTATTAATATAGTCAGGATGTTGTTATTTTTAGACTCAGTTAAATTAAGAAAGGAAGACAGTAGTCATGCAGGCTAAATTTAGTAAAAATATATGTGGAATTAAAATGCAGATAGCTGGCATAATTTGAAGAGTTGATTGTGAATCTACACTTGAATGCTTTCACTTGAAATGTATAAGAAAATACATATATTACAGAGCATCCTCCTTTCACTGAAATTTTAACATTTGTGAGAGAAAATAAAATCTCATCTGGATATTTAAATAAAGAAGTTAAGAAAGTATAAGGACCAGTCATATTTGTTTGGGCCAAAAATTCTGATTAAGTTCATCTAAATGTTTAAATGAAATGGCTCCTTAATTATCTATATACCAGGTCCTGGAATAGTGTTGTTTTATTCAATGTCGCTTCATTATAATGTTGATGAGAAAAAAAAAATTAATGCCCAGCCTGGGTCACCGTCTGTAGAGTTTACACATTCTCCCAGGTCTTCGTGTGTTTTCTCCGGAGACTCTGGCTCCTCCCTCACCCAAGAGATGTGCCTGTGAGGTGAGCTGGAGGCCTAAGTGGTCCCCATCTGAGTGAGTGGGTGTGGGTGTGGGTGATGTGCCCCTGTGATGGAAGGGCATCCCATTCAGAGTGGGCTCCTCCTTGGGCCCTGAGCTGTCGGGGTAGGTTCTGGCCACTCAGAACTGAAATACGTGGCTTGGAGAGTCATTATCTTGCTTGTTTTTAGTAACTTTCTTAAACGTATGTATAGCTCACATTTACCTCAATATTTAATATCAGAAGTGTTTTAGGCCTCTGTTTTGGGGATTGGTGATATTTTTGTGACCAGAAGTATGCCATAAGACAGGGGTGGCTGACTAGAATACATAGTGTATAGATAACAGCCTTGAATGCTAGCAAAGAGCTAGAGACATTAATAAGGGGATGTAGAAATCTTCTTTCCTAAGGGCCTAAATTGGACTTACAAGATTCAAAGATAGGTGATCAACTTCTGTGCCATTAAGATATGGGAAAGGAGCCTCGTGAAGATATAGTAATTCTGGGCTTATTCCAAATTGTCCAAACCTGTCACAATTCACATTTGCCACTAATCAACCTATCTGAAGTTCACTGTGGAAGGAAGGAGGGTGATTTTGCAGTTAAAATTATTTCAGGAATTCTGTCCTGCTTGGATGAGGATCTGGGGTTGCAGTTGGGATGCCTTCTGTGCACCTCACCTGAATAAATGTTAAAATATCATTTGTCAGCCAAGCTTGTTTTGATGTTGGAGAGAACTGGGGTGACATTTCATACATAGTGAAACCTACACGGACTGCATGTGCCACATTTTTCCTTGACTGTGGAGAATAATGGATGGCCACTCTGAGGAAGAGAAATCAACAATCAAGGCTGTTGCTGGGCGAGCCCCGTGGTGTTGGAATGAAGGAAAGGCCCGCGGAAGCACAGGGTCCTACGCCTTTGGAGGTGGAAGGTGTTGCGAGGTCACCTGGCCTGTGGACTCGCGCCCTGTGCAGGGCTTTCTGCAGCTGAGGCTCTTCCGTAGAGACAGCTGCAGGGAATAGAGGGTGGACTCGGCGCCCAGCACTCTCCGCAACCAGGGAGGGCCCCTCTGATGAACATACTTGGATCTTGCATAAGGCTTTGGATGAAAAAGACTTTACTGGATGGCATAACAATGTTTAAAAAAGTCATTGTAGTTAGGTCTCCTTCCCCCAACCCGGATCCCAGCAGTATTGCAGAACTATGAGAAGAAATAGCTAAGGATGGATGCTCCTGCGCTAGTCTCATGCATGCATGCATTTTTCCCCACAAATATTTGTGGTGCTCCTATTACGCACCACTGAAAGTGATTTGTCAGTATTCCAGAGCGGCGAGAATGAGCCACATGGCAACCTGAAAATGGATGCCGGTTTTCTTGTCAGTTGGAGTGAAATGAGTCGATAACAGTTTGCACATAATAAGTTTTTAATGTGCTCAGCATGTGTTCCAAATAGAATTATCAAGAAATGACAAGCTTCCCCTTTCCACCCACATGACAGAACGAGATATGGGCATCTGAGTGGTAAGTTAACCATTTGTGATTTTGTTTCCAGAGATATGTACTGTGTTTCAGAAACCTTTGGAGGAGTAACTGCAAGGAGACACAGAGGCTGGGACAGTGGGAACTGATGACTAGGGCTTGAAGGAAGCAGAGGGAAAGTACACCCACTGCTCAGAACTCTGCTCTTCAATTGTTAGAGGGCAGTGATGTGTGTGTGGGGTGTGGGGGGGGGTATGGGGGGGGGTACCCAGGACCAGCACAGGAGCAGAGCGGGCTCCAGGGCTCATAATATGAGTGACCATGAACTGATATGTTGCAGAACATTCTGGTCTATTCCAGCATTCTGAGGCTTGTATCCTCACGGCCAAGCTCCCAAAGCAGAGGTGAGGTTCTGAAGCCCCCTGCCTCGGAGAGCTGGCTGAAATTCCTGGCTTCTGAGCAGTCTTTCCTACCGAATGTTGACCAAGAGAGAGGGCTTGAGTTTTCTTGGAATGTTGGGACTCAGGTGACCAACTCATCCAGGTTTGCCGAGGACTTTCCTGGCTTCAGCACTGGAAGTCCTGTGTCCTGGAAACCCCTTCGCTCCCAGGCAGACTGGAATGAATAGTCATCCTAAGGAAGTAAGAGCCAAGTGAATAGACTGGGTGTTTCAGTAACAAACCACCAGGAAAGTTAGTGGCTTAAAACAACTACCATTTTATTTGCTCACCATTTTGCACTCCTGGCTGGGGTCAGCCGGGCAGGTTTTCTGCTCGTCTCCTTGGAGATTATTTGTATGGCTGCATTTAGCGAGTGAGTCGGCAGGAGGCTGGGCTCAGCTGGGATGCAGAGACAGGTGGGCCATGTCCCCTGTCCAGGTAACCTCAGAGCCTCTTCCTTGCCAAGTGCCTCTCCAAGGGGCTTTTACAGCAGGGAGCTGAATTTCTACATGGAGGCCCAGGGCTCTTGGGAGAGCAAAACCTGCTTGCCTTCATAGGCTTAGGCCTGGAACTGGCACAGCATAAGTCCACTGTATCTTATTGGTCAAGCCGGTCACGGTGCCATGCTAGAATCAAAGCGGGGGACTGCACACGGTGTGAATGCCAAGGGGCAGTTCATAGGGGGCTACCAATGTAACGGTCTGTTCCAGAGGTGCAGGTGCTCACATGGACTCCCAGGGGCCTGATTCACCCTAACCTGTTTGCTAGGAAACCTTCCTTGCTCTCCTTATTCTCTCAGAGAGAAGAGAATATGAATAGCTTGACTATTTTTTTAAATATATTTTTTAAATTGATTTCAGAGAGGAAGTGAGAGGGAGAGAGAGAAACATCAGTGATGAGAGAGAATCATTGATCAGCTACCTCCTGCACACCCCCCACTGGGGAATGAAACACAATCTGGGCATGTGCCCTGACTTCGAATCCAACCCTGACCCCCCGGGTTCATAGGTAGACGTCAATCACTGAGCCACCCCGGTGGGGCACGAATAGCTTGACTATTTATTAGAGCCTCCAAGAGCTCTAGGTGGGCGGAGGACAAGTTTATCCCCACCATTCCTACTTCTGCTAAGCACAGAGAGGATGGTACATCTCTTTTAGGTTTCTGGAAGGTTTGCAAGAAGCAACAGGTTAGGAGGCCTAGGTTTACAACGCTGATGCGAGGCACTAAAGGACCTGACTCTTCCCTTCCCTGCAGCACGTGGTGGGGAGTGGGTGCCCATGCCAGGGTCTCTGCTCAGGGCAGGGACTACAGAGATCCCCTGCCCACGCAGGCCCCAAGTCTTGTCTTAAGGTTTAAATGGGTGCCAGCATTGGTCCTCCCTCCTTCCCCTCTACCTGCCTCTCACTGCAGCTCTGACCCCTGCGCTGACCTGTTTCCCAGCAGCTGCCCGGAGCAGTGCGCCTCCCTGGCAGGCGAAGTCCAGTCCTTCTTCTTGAACGCACCGGGGAGGTGAGGGCGCGCTCTCCGGCCAGGGTGGCCCAGCTGGCACTCCTGGAAGACCCGCCCAGCCCCCTGCACTTCAGAGCAGCTCCAATCCTGCTGGCTCCCAGGCTCCCACATCCCCCTGCCTTTCCCTTTCCTTTTTTTTTTTTTTTTTTTTTTTTTGGCTTGGAGAGAATTGGACCCCTTCCCACCGCCCCCCTACACAAACTCCGCCTTAAAGGCATCCCTGAGCTGCCGCCAGGCTCTGGGTCCGTTGCTGGCTTCACCCCCTTTCCCTTCCGGGCCCCCTCCTCCATCACTGAGGCACTATCTGGTCGCTTTGACTTCGGAGCCCTTCCTCCGTTTCTCCCCACCCTGCCTGGTGCTGCCTCCAGGCCCAGCGCATCCCGCCCGGGCGCTGTCGCTTTAAGCCGGTTCCCCGCCGCCGCGCCGCTCCCTGGCCGCTTCGGGAGCTCCCGCCGCCTCTCCCGCTTCTCCTCCTCTCGCGCTGCTCCTCACCCTCCTCCGCCTCCTCCGCCTCCTCCGCCTCCTCCGCCTCCTCCGCCTCCGCCGCCTCCTCCTCGCCGCCGCAGCCGCCCCGCTCCCGCTCAGCTCCTCGCAGCCTCGGTGCACCGCAGCCATGGCCGACATGAAGACGGGCATTTTCGCCAAGAACGTCCAGAAACGAATCAACCGCGCGCAGGAAAAGGTCAGAACAGGCGGCGGTGCAGGCGGCGGGATGCGGCGCGAGGGCCTCGAGGGCCCGGGGAGCGGAGCGGGCAGGCGGCGGGGCAGGGCCGCCGGGGGCGCGGGGACGCCCTGCCCTGCGCCGCGGGGACTGCAGCGGGCGCCGCCGGCGGGTCGGGGCGCTGCGGGCCCGGAGCGGGCGGGAGGCGGGACTCCCGGGGAGCGCGACCCGGTCCCCGGGGCGCGGGGTCTGCCGAGCCCCCAGCTCCCACGCCCCCCGCGCGGCTGGCAGCTCTGCCCGCTCTGCAGGCGGCGCCCGCGCCCCGGGCTGAGCGCACCTGCCCCCGGAGCCCGCTCCCCGCTCGCCCGCAGCCGCCCGTAGCGATGCGCCCGCGGGTTCGGGCGGGAGATTGCGGCAGCTGTCCTTTCTCTGCGGGGATTTACTGGCTACGGAGCGCGGCCGAAACGAACAGTTTATTTAGCACAGAAGATACCCCCAAATCTGTTCGGATCAATAGAACTGATCGGGGAAAATCCCGCGGATTTAATGCAGTGCCGGGGCGTGAATCCTGGAGTTCAATCCATGCCCGCATACACAGGCTCCCCCCTCCCCGTCGTTTTTGATCTCTCTGTATGTGCCCCCTTTGGCGCCGGTGACCTCTGGAAGGTCAGAAGTAAATCTGACCCGAGCCTAACAGTTCTGCTCTGCACATTTTTGTGCAAAGAAGGGCGTTTTATTGCATTAAAAAAAATCCGTATTGCACGGGTTGGTTCCCTGTTGCTTCACAAGACCCTCAGTTGCTTGGTCGGTGATGTATTTTTCGCACCCAGGGATGCATGTCCACGAGTGGATCCCAGGCTCGTTCCACACAGCCCCGAGCAGTGGGAGCGGTATTGATGGCACCAGGCACAGGGCTGGCCTGGCTGCCCGGAGACGTCTTATCATGAAGACCTTGCGGGCCCTGGGGTCCCCATGTGTGTCCTGAGCAAAGGACGTTCATGGGCTCGCTTGAGCGCTGGACTTGAAAATGAACACGGGCGAGTGAACTCCATGGTGCCTGTCAGTCCAGCTGTGCTCTCTCTTTCACGTGGCAGGGTTTTCCATCCCTGGGATGCTGGGTACCTAGCACTTCCCTGTGTTACTGAAAGATTGACTGCATTGCTCTGTGACAGGCTCGGCTGCCCCCCACTTCCTGCTGACCTAGAAGCTGAGCTGAACGGGGCCCTGGTCCCTTTGCCTGTCCCTAGGCTGAGCCTGGGTGGCTGCCCCTGGTCCCTCCCTCCGCACATGCACACTCTCAGTGCAGTAAGAGGATTGTATTTCTTTTAATATCTAGCCAAGCTCATCCTGAGCTAACCGGGGTCCTCTCCCGCTACTCCTTCAGCAGTTGAATTAGCAAGGCTCCTGCCCCCCGACTAGCCCCTGGCTACTTGTCCAAAAGGTAGCCAGGATCTACTGGGATGGGAGCCAGGTTTTGTCATCATTTTTTCATACTTCCTTTTACCCACTTGTGGGTATTCTCCCACAAGTTATTCAAGTGATTAACTTGAATCTTTGGACTGAAGCTTTTCATTGAATCCACTTTCCATCTGTGAAGGAATTTAGCGATACAGTCTGCTTTTCACATATTATTTCTTAATCTAGGTCACCAGCTGTTGATATGCCAAAAATAAATGAAAAGAAAGCGGAATGTGTCTTACAGAGCCCGTATGAGTTGTTGAAAACTCCCTTTTTCATTAGGAAGGTTAGGTGTGCATCATGATTGCAGTTGTGGCCGGTGCTCACTCTTCTGTGGGAGAGGGGGTGAGGGAGCCTTGCCCAGGGCTTCCAGTGTGCGGTTTTCTTCACGGGCAGAAGTTGCTGACGAGAAGTGCCTGTTGCACCTTGTTAGGGGGTTAAGACACCAAGAGGCTGGGAATATAGGTTCTGCCTTTGGGTAAGCTCTGTGCCCTTCGCCTATTAACCTAAGGGGAAGGGGCATGTGTGAGGCCAGGGAAGGGAGCCCAGCCAAGCCCAAAGGAAGCTACTGGAGAATGGAAAGCACGCTATCGTGCAGGCTTCGCTAGATGTCATCCCCAGTGGTTCCTTCTCTTTTGCATTTTTGTCTCTTCCTCTTCTCCAGCGCACAGGCACTCCATCGTAATAACTGTGTGCCACACATGTTCTTAAAACCCTTTCTCCTTGTTTTTACAACCAAAGTTTCTAAAAAGAGAGTCCACTCCTTTGGCTTTCTCATTATCTGTGCTCTCCCTAACAGCTTGCATGATTTTAGCTTCAAATGCACAAGTGCAACTACTCTGAGAGGTTTTTTTATGAATGTGAAATATATATATTTTTTTCTATTGAAAATCCATAAAAGTTCACTGGAGACAGAATGAAATATGCATATAGGCTAAAAAACAACAACCCTGCAACAAATTAGGCCATTCATAATTCTACCACCCAGGGATTTCACTATCCTTTGATGTGTATCCTAGTAGATCTTTTCCCATCTGTACATTTATACAACTAAAATGTAGACTTATACTACAGTAGTTCCCCCTTACTCTTGGTTTTGCTTTGTGTGTTTTCAGTTGCCCATGGTCAACCACAGTCTGAAAATATTAAAAATGGAAAATTCCAGGAATAATACATAAGTTGTATGTCAGACATTATTGTGGGGATTATGATGAAATCTTATCTTCCTGCTCTGTCTTGCTCGTGATGTGAATCATCCCTTTGTCTAGTGCAGTGATGGCGAACCTTTTGAGCATTGGCATGTCAGCATTTTGAAAAACCTTAACTCTGGTGCCGTGTCACATATAGAAATTTTTTGATATTTGCAACCATCGTAAAACAAAGACTTATATTTTTGATATTTATTTTACATATTTAAATGCCATTTAACAAAGAAAAATCAACCAAAAAAATGAGTTTGCGTGTCACCTCTGACACGTGTGTCATAGGTTCGCCATCACTGGTCTAGTGTCTCTACCTGTGTACATGGTATCATAGTGCTTGTGTTCAAGTAACCTCTATTGTCTGAAGGTCAGTAGTAGCCCTAATACTATGTCACAATGCCAACATCATTCACCTCACTTCATCTCATCTTGTGGGCACTGCGTCATCTTACATCATTACAAGAGGAGAAAGGGTGAGTATCTATATATATAGAAGCCTAAGCGACCGTTAGGATCGAATGACCATAACAGCCGGTCAACCAATCAGGACGAGCAGCAGTGAAGCTGCTCCTGGCCCCGGTTGGAGCTGCTCCCCAGCCGCCTCCGCTCCAGCACTGCTACATCCCTTGGACCGCAGGCGGGGATAGGCCGAAACCCAGCAGTCCAACATCGCCCTCGGGGTCCCTGATAGCGAAGGAGCGCAGCCCAGGCTGAGGCACCCACCTGTGCACGAATCTGTGCACCAGGCCTCTAGTAGTACCGTAAGATATTTTGAGAGAGATCACATTCACATGACTTTCATTACAGTATATTGTTATAATTGTTGTTTTAGTATTAGTTTTTGTTGTTAATCGCTTACTGTGCCTAACTTGTAAATTAAAATTTATTATTGATAGGTATGTATAGAAAAAAACATAGTATATATAGGGTTCAGTATTGTCCTCGACTTCAGGCCTCCACTGGGTGTCTTGGAATGTATCCCCCATGTATTACAGGGGAATATTATTATATTGTTTTGTAAGCTGTTTATTTCATTTAATAATCATGAACATTCCTCAATACATGTATATTTTCAATCAACATTTTATTTTTTTAAAATACACTTTTATGTATTTCAGAGAAGAAGGGAGGAGAAAAAGATAGAAACTTCAATGATGAGAATCCCCTGCCGGGGATTAAGCCTGTAACCCAGGCATGTGCTCCACTTAGCAATTGAACTGTGACCTTCTGGTTCAGTGATGGCGAACCTTTTGAGCTCGGCGTGTCAGCATTTTGAAAAACCCTAACTTAACTCTGGTGCCATGTCACATATAGAAATTTTTTGATATTTGCAACCATCGTAAAACAAAGACTTATATTTTTGATATTTATTTTATATATTTAAATGCCATTGAACAAAGAAAAATCAACCAAAAAAATGAGTTTGCGTGTCACCTCTGACACGCGTGTCATAGGTTCGCCATCACTGTTCTGGTTCATAGGTCGGCACTGAGCGACCAATGAGCGACACTGGCTGGCTGAATAGTATTGGAATGCATCGATTTTATCGAATCCCTTATATTTTGGACATTCTGTTTTCAGTGTTCCTGTTTATAAATAAAAACCAGTGAGAACATGAGTAGGGGAAATGTATGCACACATCCTTAAGCAACTCCTTAAATAAATTTTTAGAAGAAGAATTATTGTTCCAAAGGTACACTCATTTTTATCATAGCTAGATTGCCTTTCAGAAAGATTATATCAATTTATTTTCTCACCAGCAGTCAATGACACACTTGCCAACTCTGGATAATAAAATTAAAAACACTCTTTAGCTATGTCATTGGAAAAAATTAGTTTCTTTTTATTTCATTTGTTTAAATTTTAGAAACTGAACGTTATTTTTTTTATATTTCTACATTTTTCATTTGCCAACTTTGTGTTTATATTTTTTCCCATTTTGCGTAATATTTCCTTGTTATTTGTTAGGGCAAATCTTATTAATCCTGAAGATTGCAAACATTTTTTTCTTCCTTTTCTATTTACCTTTTAATTTTTTGATAATTTTTTCTGACATAGAGAATGTTTATGTTTTATGTATATATATGCAAGTTTCAGGTCTGTGTGGACCTAGGGGCTCAACCACCGATATCAGGGCTGAAGAGCTCATCTCTTATCTCTGCTGTGCATCTTGTCAGCCCCATTCTTGGGCAAGTAATTCTCTTTTGATGGCAAGATGGCTCCCAGCAGTTCTAAGTAATAGAATGTCTATGCAGGGAGCTCCTCAGTATAGCCCTTACTGGCCCAGGTGGACCTTATGACTATCTCTGAAAGAAAAAAAAAATCTCTCTGGACAAGGTCCAGGACCATAAGTTGGATTGG